TGAAGACTTCAAGATCAATCAATTCATGGGTCTTCCTGTGAATAAGGTGCACTTTTATGTCCCGTTAGTTATTTTTATTAAAAAGTAGAGGCACATATCCTTTCCTATCTTAAAGGTGAGAACTATTAGAACTCCTATCTGAACACAAAATTAATGTAGCATATAAAGTAGCTGTTTTTAAACATCAAATGTCTGAATCCCAATTAAAATATTGATTTTTGTCCCTAATCTTGACCTTCTTGACAGGCCTGAATTAGGAACACACAGGGCCCTGGCGCTGGTTTAACTGATCAGTGTGTGCACTTGGATGGGTTAAATTCTGAGTATGGGACACCGTACTTGGCCACACCTCACTTTAAATCTATTTTAACCATGTTACAGCATGATGCTTGGGTGTTCACATTGTGACAAGAATTTACGTAATTTGTACCCTTTCTGATGACAAATAAAAGAAAAAAATATAAATATATAACCAAACAAGCAAATAAAGAAATAATGCTTAATTTTGAAATAAATGAAAAGATTACTTTATTTTTTACTTTGTAAATACTTTGCCTTTTTGAGGTTGATTATTAACATTTTCTGCAGGCTATGCATCTCCTTACACTGACCTTACATTTACATTAATTAATTTTGCAGACACTTTTATCCAAAGCGACTTACAGTTGAGGAATACATCAAGTGATTTATCATAAGATGGAAATAAACACGAGAAGTTAAACAACGTTTCAGTCATCGTTCTAAATAGTAAAAGCAAGGACATGAAGGGATAAAGGATAATAAAAGAATAGAAAAAGTGAAGGCATAGATTTAAAAAAAAAAAAATTATGAGCAGGCAGTTAGATGCTCTTCATATTTGCTATAAAATAAACAAAATGAATTTCAGACCATATTTTGAACCCTAACTGTGGAAAGTGTCTTCCCAGTTTTATTGAAACTTAAAGGGGGGGTACAATGCTGTTTCATGCATTCAGAGTTGTTTACACTGTTAAAGAGTTGGATTCTCATGCTAAGCATGGACAAAGTTTCAAAAAACAATTTGGACGTATGATGGAGTATTTCTGTGCCAAAAATCTTACTTCCGGGTTCGTACAAGTTTCGGAGAGTTTTTTTCGATCGTGGCTCTTCATGACGTAGACGAGAGTGGAACTCCTTATATGGGCATTTCTCCCGGAAGAGCGAGATCGCGCCCATCAATGCGCTTCATCCGGCCGCAGCGCTGCACGGGACTCGCTCGGGAAGAATGTCTCCAATCCAAAGAAGTGTGTTTTTGGTTGTAAGGGAAAGATAACTTTGTTCAGCTTCCTAAAGAATCCAGCGTTATGTAAACAGTGGATACCGTTTGTTTTTCCGGAGCAGCAA